AACACATGTGTTAATAAATCAGCAAGTGCTGGCAATGAAGCCCCTAGCTATTTAGCTTAGAAGCTCACTGGGACAGTGACACACACTGTATGTTTCCACAGTGCTGCTGACTTTGGCTGCCACCTCTGGGTGCGTTTGCAGCCCAAATCGACAACAAATGAGAAGCTGCTGCTGAGGCGAGGTGACCTCTTGTGGTCAGCAATTTGTTCTACTGACCTAGGACCAAGAATGAGCATCATCTCCATGCCATCTAAACCCACTGGTGGTATTGTCAGGAGCACGATTCCCCACTAGGACTCATCAGCCAGGCTGATCTTCCAGTTCCTGTAATCAGACCCCATGGCTGCTCTGTCTCCCTGACCTCTGTGTACCAACTCTTCTCCCTCAAGGGTTGATGAAGGAACAAACGTAGAACAACATGCTTTAATCACTGGACTCTGGGGTACCACTGTCCCCCTACATTATGGGTGATGGTAATAAACAGGAATCCTAAAAGCAACAAGGAAAGGGAAGGAAAAAAAGATAATCTCCTTAAAGTGTCCTCCATGCCCTCCCTCACCCTGCTGCTTTTCTGATCAAGGCTAAAGCAATTCAGCGTTGGAAAGGGGAAAGGGACTTTGCCATCACTTGTCAAGGAGAGTGGCGGGGGGAGGGATGAATGTCTGTGTGCACTTCCTGATAATTTATCACTGGCATCTGTTGCAGCCTCTGTTACCTACCCTTTTGCAATATAGGTCACCCACATGCCCTGCCAATGCTCGTAAGCCAGGCTGTTAACTGAGTCTGATCCTTGAGCCATGATCCAAGGGTTAGTGCAAAGGACTAGGAGAGATAATCAGAGGCATAGGTTGCTGGGCTCTGTTTCTGACTGCAACTCATCCTTGTGACACAGTCACCTGTCTCTCTAGCCTCAGTGTCCCCGTCTGGAAAATGGGATAACTTTATCCACCTACCTAGAGCAGAGGCACTAGTGGCTATGACCTCAGCCTTACTTCTGGGGGTCACTAAATACAAAATAACACCACCACCACCTACAGCCATGGTAAGGACCATTCATAGAGCAGATGGAAAGCTTTGGACAGAATGTGTCATGGAATTGAGAGGTGTTAATAAAACAGTACGTGGATGCAGTAAACTGAAATCCTCCTCACCCTCACAGTATGCTCCTTGCGACCTGACTTTATGAAAGCTAAGGCTTTAGAGTGATACTGCAAACATTACTGATGTCTGGGCAGGGAGAAGGGAAGCACAAGACAGTGATAGTGCCTGCTGCAACATTTATGCGCTGGCAAGTGCTGCAGAGTCATTACAATCTCCTCAGCATCCCCCCCCAGCAGTAAAGTTCCCTGTTCAAGCTAATTAGGGGAATCCTCATCAGAGAGTCCTCTGGAGTCTGACAGCAGGCCAAATGTCCAAGTGGCACTTCAGCTCAGTGTATTTTTGGCCACTGGAGCCCACGGGCCAGAAATGGATGATTTCATTCTGTTGCTTTGAGCTGAAACTAAAAAAGTTGTCTTACTGTCCTATATCAGATGGCAAGAAGAAAAGGCCATCACCAGCCCCACAGGCTACTCTGTTCATTTCTCCAGAATCTGGAAAAGAGATTCAACTCAAAGCACGTGGAAGAAAGTTCTGGACACCGTGTCCCATGGGTCACAGGGCATTTGGCTGACATGCTGCTCCAGGGAGAATGAACCATCTAGTAAGCCTGGAAGAAAGACTAATGCCTGGATTGTGGAGCCCTCGGGTGACTTCGGAGCATGCAGAGCTCCAGCAATGCTGATCAGCCTTGAGCCCCCAAACCCAGGCAATGCCATGCTAGTTCAGAGTAGATGGCATAGTGCCTCTCCTCTTGTGTCGGGGGGGTATGGGGGGCACTCCTAGGGCTGGCAGAGTCCTCGCTGCTGGAAAAGTCCCTGGCTGTCAAGCTGAAAGCAGCCAGACAGATTTAGTGGTGCTCTGGAGAGCCCTGAGGCGTGGGCAGGTGTCGGCTGCCCCAGGACTATGGGGTTCCCAGTGCTGTGTTGGCAGGGAGTGCAGCTGGGCTGGTGCTCTGCAGAGCAGAAGGCATCTCTTGGGCCACAGTAAAACAGCTAATTAAGTCAGAATTCAAGACAAATCAGAGAAAACCTTTATAAAAGAAACTCTCAAAAATCCTCTCTGTCTCCTTGCTCTCTCCTGGATGCAGAATATTAATCACTAAGGGTCTAACGTGCTTGTGGGCAATAGATGTGTGGAAGAAACTGGGTTTTCCTGGATCCTTGGAATTAAAATTTCTCCATAAACATACTACTTCAAGGTATAAATGCAGAAGCTCATTGGCCTTTTCACTTCCGCAGTCAGGAACCTCCACCTATTCCACACCTACAGCTCTGCCACCTGAGCATATGTTATGCTTGGAGAAGCAGGCAGTTTTGTGCAAGACATGGATGTCGACAAATATGGGTCCACAGAAGAGTCCCCAGTACATGTGCAAACCCAACTCTGTGCACACATTTGTAAATGTAAGCCAGATTGGCGACTATATCTGCATATGTACTTGAAGATAGCTGCTTTTAAGTCTTAGAAACATGTGTGTGAGTGCACAAAGGGTGGCTGCTATCTGTGGGGCGGGGAGCGCTGTGTTTATGTGACATGCTTTTAATAACCTTGGGTTTATTGAGGCACCTCCATCTTTGTGCGTGTTGCAGCGCAGGAGACAGCATTAAATCCTGAACAGGTGTTAATCACTATGCACTGTAATAAATTCTAAACATAGGGAAAGGGCTTATTTATACACGGCTGCTCCTCCCACCCTGCACTCTGTGCTTGAGCCTTGGCGCTGCCTGAGAGGAAGAGGCGCCCGTGAGGTACCAGAAACCAGTGCAAGAGCTGGACTTGCCCTGCCCCAGCAGAAGGAGCTAGGGGTAGCAACCCTGACCCTGTCACCAGCCTGGCGCCTGGGTATGCAGGTCCTGCTCCAGCCCCCCACTGTTGCCTGGGGATGGTGTGGCTGAACTGGACAGAGCAGCAAGCGGGGCGGGGGGTACACCAGCCCATGGCCCGAGTGGGGGCCTGGGCTGAGGGGAGACCGCAGAGGGAAGCCGTGTCACGAAGCACCCAAAGAAGCTGGTTTTTTTTTTAAAGCTTAGCCCCCCTGATTGGAGCCGAGCCAGCTGATACAGATGGGGTGTTACAAAACAGAGCCAAAAGGCAAGAGCGCAAGGAACAGAGCTATCTATAACCCTGACAAAGTTAGATGGAGTGAAGGTGGGGAAGAGGGGAAGACAGAGCGTGGCAGGCAGCCCCTGATGCTGAGAGCAAGGACGCGATCGTTCGGCAATGGGATTTGGAGCTGATTGACTCCCGCTATCCAGCAGGCAGATAAGGCTCTGTGGCTGTCAGCTTAACTCTGCCGTTTATTCCTGTGCTGTAGGGAGTTAAATAGAGCACACGGAAAGCCTGCTGCTGGGGAGTGAAAGTCAAGGAGGGAGAGGGAAGGAAGAGACCGTAATTGGGCAGTGCCCAGGGAGTCGGGTGGAAGTGGCTGCGGGCAGAGCCCCTCCAGGTAAGTGCTTGCGGCTTTTCCTCGTCCTTGTCGATACCGACAGCTGGGCACAGGAGACTTCAGGGGTGGCATTTAGGATGGAGACATTGATATGGGGGAGGCTGAAAGTCTCCTTCTCAGCCAGGGCGAGCGCAAGCACCGAATGGGGACAGCTATTTGTTGCAGCTTCTCCTTCAGCAGGGACTGCAGGGAAGGGGCTCCAGCTCGGTTTGGGGAGCGGGGGGGGCTGCAGCGGGTAAAGGTTGGATTGGTTTCGGTGCTGTGAGAGTTAATTCATCTATTTGGTGCATTGGCATTTGGGTGAATGATGTAAATAGCCTTGCAAAATGTACTAGTCCAGGCACTGAACCTGCTCGTCTTTCTCACCGAGATGCTAATTTAAATATTTCCTGGTGGTTTACACTCCTGTATAAAATCAATCAGTCATGGGAGCCTGGGGGAGGGGGAGCAGCTGGCACGTGTGTGGGGAGAGAGTCCCGGTGGGAGTGCAGCACCCAGCTAAAATAAGGGCTGTGGATGTTGTCAGAGCCCCTCAGAGATGGGGGGAGGATGGTTTATTTCTGTACTCTGGTTGAAATGTGTCCATCTAACTGCTGCTGTGACTGTGGGCGGCACGTCAGAGAGCAAGCAGGGGGACAGGAGGGTCCATGGTGTTTCCTCTTTTCCTGCTTGCCTGTATCCAAAAGGGAAGCTGGAAGGAAGGAGGAACCTGTTGTCAGTCACTTATTGTCAGGGGAGAGTTTATGGTCTTTGGGTTTCTAATTAGACTGAGCATTTTTCCTTCTTCTAATTAAGATGTAATTCCTCTCTTTTCAACACTCCCACTCAGTCTCCCCCGCCCCAGGTCCTCCCTTCTCCTCCGAGGCTTGCGCGCTCTTCAGCTCCTGCAGTTGCGGCAGTGTGAAATTCCCAAGCTGAACCTGTGCTCTGCTCAGCTCCGCTCTAGGCACCACATCCACTTTACCTTAAAACAGAAAGGAAGCACTGGTGGGGAATACGGGGGGGGGGGGGGGAGAAGCGGGGTTGTGGC